CAACTCACACCGGGCGCATGTGTGTGCGTGCCCAAGATCCGGAGAGGAGAATGGAGGAGAAGGGATTGCGGTGTGATCATCCCCCCTGGGGGTGATTTCTTGCTTTCTGTCTCTCTGTCTGTCTGGCGAGCGCACGCGCCCTATAGCGAAAACCTCTCAAAAAAAAAAAAAAAAAAAGAAGGGACAGAGACCAAGATGGCCGTCCTCTCACTGACTGACACCTCACAGGGGAGGTGGCCGGGGCAGTCCTCTTTTTGATGTCTCATGAGGTGTTGTCAGAGACAGAGAATGGAGCGCTTGACCTCAGCAGCCAGGCTCAAAGGCTGCAGATGGTCCAAAGGCACCTGAAAGCACCATCTGGGCCCAAAGGCTGGCAGCTTGGTGTGCTTGCTGGACCAAGGGAGGCACTGGCCACGGGGTCTCCCACGCTACACCGTGCACCTGTTCCAGCTTGGCTAACTCATGTGGTTGGGCCCTAGGTAGGGTCATAAGTTTGCAAAAAAATGATGTGGAGGGCCACATAACCTCTGAGGAGTCACAGGGATGCTGAAGACCCTAAGCAATGTGTTCCCCTGAGTCGGGACGATGTACTGGGGCATAAGCAGAGGACAACGTGTAGTGCCCAGGGCGTCCACATGGGTGAGGATGGACTCCCATGTCCACATGTGGATGGCTCCCCACCCACTTGAAGAGTGCCACAGAACCCCACTTTCATTCACTTCAGGAGACACCACCCTCCCTTCTGCCTCCTCAGCAGCAGCTGCCTCCCTAAAGCTGCTTTATTCCTTCTACTTCCTGTTTCCCGTTGCCAAAGAGTCAACCAACTGCCAGGAAGAGGCCAAGCCACGACGCCCGGACAGCTCACGTGGCTCCACTGAGTAAGCTCGGAATCCCGAGACAACAAGTGGACGGAATCCCAAAGTCTCAAGGAACTATATACATAAAACTCAGGTAATTAATAGTGTCTGACCAAGAGCTAAGACAGTCATTTTTTCAGTGTGATGCAGAAAAGTATTATTCACCTATTTTACCCATGAAGAGACTGAGGCTCAAGGCTGTCTCAGTCTGTTTGGGCTGCTGTTAACAGAACACCTCCAGGGACCAGCAGTTAGCATAATGGCTATGTCGCTGGACTCCCACGTAGTTGACCGCGGTTTGAGTCCTGGACCCGGCATCTTAAACTCACGCCAGGCACATGTGCGTACGTGCCCAAGATCCCGAGAGGAGAATGGAGAAGGGATTGCAGCGTGGCCATCCCCCCTAAGGAGTGATTTCTCGCTTTCTGTCTCTGTCTCTCTCTGTCTTTCTGGCGAGTGCATGCGCCCTATAGTAAAAACCTCTCAACAACAACAAAAAAATAGTGAAGAAAAGAAACAGAACACTCTGACTGGGTGGCTGATAAACAACAGGAATTGATTTCACACATTCTAGACGCAGGAATTTCAAGAGTGGGAGGCTGCAGACCTGGTGCTGGGGAGCACCTGCTTTCCAGTTCCCAGAAGTCACCTTCTAGCTGTGTCCTCACAAATCGGAGGGAGTGAGGGAGCTCTCCAGGGGCCCCTCAGGATGCTGATCCCATCAACAAGGGTTCCACTCTGTGGCCTAATCACCTCCCAAAGGCCCCACCAACTAAAACCAGGACACTGGGGGGTTCAGATCTGGATACACATATCTGGGAGGGGAACAGTTAGTCAACAGCAAGAACCAGACTAGCTTCCACAGATACAAGGGTCCCCAGACATTGAGATCAAAACCCGAGTTTCTGCCCTTGTCTGCACCTGGGTCACAGGATCTGGCCTTCGGGGACATTCTGTGCAAAGGTCCATCAGGCTGCCAATGTCCCAGCTCCAACTCAGCCTCACCCTGAGCCCCAGCCTGTGGCTGGTCCCCTTTCTGCAGGAAGTTGTCCACATCTGCAGGACTCCAGAGGGGCACCATGGCCTGGACTGGAGCCTGTGACAGCAGAACTGGCTCCGGTGCACCAATGACCACAGTGTCAGGACCACGGCGTCGGCTCCATGGCACACTGGCCACATGTTGCAGGGAGTGTGCTGGGCTGCAGCTCTACTGTTCCCTCTGGCCGAGGTCATGGGAGCAGGAGACCCACTGATGAACGGCGGACGTAGCATTCACTGCCCCCTAATCAGGGAGAAGCCAGGCCAGTCTGACGTGAAACCAAAGCCTGGGTTCTTACCCAAAGCTTCGGAATCTCCCAAGAAATCTGAGCACGCACGCGTTCAGGGAACCACGCAGTAATGCATGTGCATCAGCAAAGTGTGGGAGAGCCACCCTGGGGCTCCTGGAAGGCCGAGCTGCCCTGGGCCGCTCACCACTGCATAGCCGCTGGGAACTTGCGGCCCTCAGGTCCCAACAAGGATGGCATTATATTTGCGGAATGAGAAGGTGCTTTGTTATTGCCAGGGCATGTTCTCCTGCTATTCAAAGCTATATTATCAAAAAAATGAATACGGATACATTTCTCCCCCCATAATCTGATAGGAGTAAAAGCTTATCCATCCCTCAGCAAGCTGCCAATTGCTATGGTTAGAAACGCCATAATCAGTGAGAGTTCAAGGTTCTGGAATATTCTTTGAACCAAAGAATTTAATCCCCTGAGAAGCCAGTGACAAGCCCCATTTAAGAAACGGGAGGAACCACGCTGACTCAGTTCTGCAGGTGCAGGCCAGCAATAGCCATGCCCTGCAGGACGAGCCTACCTCATCCCCCATGGTGGGGACGAGGCAAGCTTCAAGGACAAGGGCACTCTTACTACAACCCCCTTGCAAGAGTGCATCTAAGCCACCCTCAGGGACAAGTCCGAAATAGCCCCCAGAGAGGACTCTCCCCACTCACCGCCGCATTCAGAGCCCTGCTCCACAGTCTCCTTTACACTAAAGGTACTTGGTACATGGACAGAGGAGAGTTATCTGTGGGTGGAAAGACCCAAAATAAACCGCAGTCGGAAATCAGCCACGCCTACAAGTGTGTATGAGCAGGAAGCATCTGCCTTAGCTGGGAAAGAGGAAGCCTTTCCCTGAGCAGGGCAAAAAGTGAGAGCCCAAAGCCCGCAGCCCCATGAGGCACACGCAAAGTGTGCCCACGTGACATCTGGAAGAGGCTGGCGAAGGAGGAGTGTGCAGAGGACAGGGGCCGGAAACACCCGGCAGGAGCACGTGCCACCCTCTCTGCTTCTCCACGTGCTCAGAAGTCTCTGTTTAAAAACCCATGTAATTTAATCTCCTGGAAGGGGTAAAATGCAACACTCCAGGAGGTCGACCCACATGAGGAGGTCTCAGATTGGTGTCCGAGCCATCCCTGAGCACACAAGGCATGCACATGCCCACGGTGTGGGGGTGGCTGAGGTAGATGGAGGCCTCAGTACCTTCTCGGGTGCTGTCTGTCTCTCTCTTTCTTGCTCACTAATGGTAAGAATAAATATACTGGGAAAAACACACTAGAGCTAGACTAGTATGGGTCTTCCAACTTTGTGTGTGCACATGCACATGTGTGTGCATACACACATGTATGTGTATGTCTATGTCCATGTGTTTGTGTGTATACATGTGTGGGCATGTGCACATGCATGGCATGTGTACAATTACAAATGTGTCTGTGTACATGTGTGCACATGTGTGTGAGCACAAGTGTGTGCATATATGTATATGCAAGTATGTATGTGTGTGTGCGTATGTGCACATGTGTTGTGGGGTAGGTGAAGAGAACTGGTCCTCAGGCCTCACGCAGAAAGCACGCCCATCTGAAGCCAGTTCACAGGACAAGCAAGTGTACCTCCAGCCCAGCCTTCAGCTTAGAACCCGAGGACGAGTTGGTACTCCTCAGAATAGCTGCCCCATGGGGCCCATTAGCAGCAAAACCCCAAGATTAAAACTTCATCTTCCCAGACCTATAGCCACGAGTGCAACCAAGGAAATTCAGGGGTGCAGATACCATAACCAGGTAGAAAACTGCATGCTTCATCCTCAGGGCATCTCACTTTCCACGGGCCCTCAGGCCACCTCACCTCCCCACTCACGAAGCTCTAAACCCAACACAGTGCACTCCTGCAGACTGCCGGACAGCTTCACCTCTGCAGGGACACACAAGCACAGCACAGAGACCCCCACCACAGGAAACCGGTCTCCATGACAGCCACAAAAAAACCCAGCAAAGTCCTCAAGGTCAGGCGTGGGCCCTGGGCCCTCTACTCCTTCTCCTTGCAAGCCACAAGATGAGAACTGGGGATCATTTGTCACTGAGAAAGCTGGTGACAGAGCAAGAAGAAAAGCACTGAATCTTTATCTGAAATCAAATTCTTAACAATTATTCTCTATAATTAAAAACATGGGAGGCTGGCATGTGGCATGGTGGTTAAGGGCGCTGGACTCCCACAAGGCCAACCGTGGTCTGAGTCCTCAACCTAACGGCTTGCTTTCTTTCTTACTTTCTCTCTCTCGCTCGCTCTGTCCCTCTCTGGTCAAATAAAAATAAAAATAAAATAAATAAAGTTAAATAAAATAATTCTTAAAATCTAACTAAATAAATAATAAAGTTTTAAAGATGGGATTCTTTTTTTTTTTTAAGAGAGGTTTTTGCTATAGGGTGCATGCATTTGCTGGAGACAGAGAGACAGAGATAGAGAAAGCGACAAATCGCCCCCAGTGGAGTATGGCTATATCACAACTCCTTCTCCTCCATTCTCTCCAGATTTGGGTACACATGCACTCGCGCCTGGCGTGAGTTTCAAGCTACCAGGTCCAAGACTTGAACTACAGTCAACCATGTGGGAGTCTAGAACCTTCACTACTATGCCACCTGCTGGTCCCCAAAACATGGATTTCAAGTATTCAGTTCACTCTCAAGATGAAAAGCATCCACCTCGTCTTCTTCCCTTACAAGCTTCCCTTCCATGGCTACCATCCAAGGCGGTCCCCTCGATGCATATCATTCATCCTGCAGCCAACACGGACTGAAAGTCCCAAGGGAAGCAACACAGCACTTACCTTAGCTTCACATTTCTTGTGGCAAGAGTACTTGCAGGCTGGAAAAAGAAAGAGAGAGAGAAAGATGTATGTGGGTCGAGCAGATGAAAGCAATACTTTTTACATCTCCAAACTCTCCTGATCCTTAAAGGGTCCAGCTTACAAATCCCAAGCTTCTACACATACTCAAAATTCTCTGTTTAAAACAAAAGTAATCTTATCTCACAGAAGGAGTAAAACACATGGGGCCAGCCAGGTGGTGTGGTGGTTAAGGTGGCTGGATTCCCACATGGCCAACGGTTCAGTTTGAGTCTCTGACCCAGTGGCTTGAAAAACACACCAGGCACGTATGCGTGTGTGCCCTCAAATTTTAAGAGGAATGGAGAAGAGATTGCAGCATCACCTCACCCCCGGGAGAGGGAGGTGCTTTCACTCTGTCTCTCTCTCTCTCTCTCTCCTACCACTAGTTAAAAAATAATAACTACATGAAATAAGTAAAGATCCTAGGCAGGCCCTCTGAGACAGGAAGGCGACTTTCAACTATGACAGAAGGTGGAGAGGATGTATGGGCAAGAAACAAGTTAGGACTGACTGCTCTCTGTTGACTACAAGCATATGGCCCAGCCAGAATGGCCCTGGGAGCCAGGTCAGGAGCAAGTTGGCTTTTCCAGGGCACCTGCAGCCCCCGTGGGTCCCTAAAAGAATGAGTCTGAGTGCCAGCAGTGACAAACATCAGAATGCGCCTAAGACGGAAGCTGCTCCCTGAAGAGAGAAGGGAAAGCCGAACATGCCCTCAAGTCAGAGCTAGAGCCTTTCCATCAGTGAGACCATCTCCATGCTGCTTCCGCTTCCGGGCAGTCGAAGACCGACTGTCAGAACGAATCCTGGTTGGAGCTCCTACAGGGAACCCGGTATCCACGCAGTGTATGAGCTCAGTGCAGCCATGCCAGCTGGGAGGCCGTGATGGCAAAAAAAGACCTGGAACCACCATGGACGTCACAAGCCCACAAGCCCACCACCCAGAGGCTGCAGCCAGGAAGAGAGGCACTAAAGCCCCCTGCTCCACACCACCACCACCACCAGGCCCTGCCCTGACAGAGAAGGCAGGACAGAAAGACACACCCAGAAAGGAACAATCGTGTCCTGGCCTCCCATGTGAATTCAGAAAGCATCTGGCACACTCTCTGGTCCTCCCAAGTTTGCTGCCCACAAGGTGGGGGTGCCAGATGAGGGACAGGCTTGGGAGCAAATGGTTGAATCTTCCTGTCTGGGCTCAGCCCCGTCTAGCTGGGCTGCTCTGGTAGGTCCTGAGACCCTAAGGGCCTCTGTTTTCTCTGACTGAGCTATTTCAGTGTCAAACAGGAAAATGGCACATTGTAGTGTTAAAGCAAAAGACCCTGCTTCGACACTGCCATATGACATTCGCATGCACAAGTGCTTAGGGCCTGCAGGACAAGGCCTCAAGGATGGGGGGAGGCAGATCACAGCTCATCACTTCTGGTCCCTGTGGGTGTAGGCAACATCTCCACTCTGCTTTCTATAAAATATTGCAGTCTAAAGGTGTAACCCAGCCAGTACCTGCAGTTATTAGAGTTCCCGTAGCTATAATTTAGGTCATCATCTCTGCACCATCTATTTTATTATCTTTTTATGCCTGAGGTTTGTGAGATTATTTCCCAAGACAAATGTCTATTTCACATCATCTAATGAGTACAACAGGGCCAACATTGGCCTAGAGGTTAAGGAGGCTAAACCTCACATAGCTGACTGAGCTGTTCGAGTCCCAGACCCAGCAACTTGAAAACCCATCCTAGGCATGTGTGCCTGTGTGCCCAAAATCCTAAGAAGAGAATGGAGGGGAAGAGACTGCAGCGTGACCATTCTCTCCAGAGTCTGATTTCTCACTTTTCCTCTCTTTGTCTCTCTCTGTCTCTTTCTGATAAGCGCACACACTCCATGGCAAACTACAAAAAGAAATGAAAATGAAAGTAATAATAATGTGTAGAACACACAAAAGTGGTCAGTGATTTTCAAATAAAGATAGACTTGACACTGAGGAGAAAAGGGCCTTCCAATGTTCAAGTATAAAAGTAAATATAAAGCAGTATTAAAAACCCAGATGGAAACCAGGCCAGAGCCGGAAGCCAGAAGGAAGGGCTGAGATAAGAGAAGAGCCTGGGAGGCCTTTGGTCTCTAGGAGAGCGACAGTCGGCAAGCAGCAATAGTTGGCAGGCATGCAGGTGAGGAATTCTCCAGCCACACACACTCAGCAGCATGCGACTGGACTGCAACACCACGTGGTGGTCGCCTTTGAGATGGCCTCACCTCCTGGCACTCTCCCACCATGACTCTGAGCTGGTTTGTGTGACATTAGAGGGCTGGCATGTGACTTCTGAAGCTCAAAGGCATCATGGCTTCTGCCCTGCTCTCCTGGATCTGAGGAGAGCCAGCCAGCCGCCATGTTGTGAAGACATTCAAGCAGCCCTGTAGAGAGGCCCACATGGAGAACTGAGATCTTGTACCAAGAGCCAGCACCACCTTGTCACCTTAGAAATGTCTCCAACTCCAGTGAACCTGCAGATGATACATCCCCTCAAAAGAGTGTGAGCCAGAACTGCCCAGCTACAGAAGTCCCAAACTCCCAAACCACAGAAATCATGAAAAATAACAGAGACTGGGACCACCAGAAGGCATAGTGTTTATGTCACTAGACTCTCACATGACTGACAGTGGTTCGAGGTCCAGACCCAGCGGCTGGAAACTCACGCTGGGTGCATGTGCACGCATGCCCAAAATCTCAAGAGGAGGCTAGAAGAGAAGGGATTACAGCATAGTCATCCACCCTAGGGAGGATTTCTCATTTTCTGTCTTTCTGTCTCTCTTTTTCCAGCAAGCACACATGCTCTATACCAAAAAAATTTCTCTTAAAAAGAAATGAACAGAGACCTAATGTTGTGCTAAGCCACTAAGCTTGGGGGTAATCTGTCACACATTAGTAGATAACCCAATGAGCCAACCCAACCTAAAAACTTCAGTCAGTGGAAGGGTAGGTGTATCCCTGCTGTGATACATGCATGGTGGATGACCTCCTTGGCCACAAGAGAGCAATAGGCCATCGTAGAGCAAAATCATGAAATCCAGTGACAATACCTAAGCCAAGATCCTGACAGGCAGATCCACTGTCTCAGTGTTCATGCAGATGACCTCACAGCCTGTGGTCGCACAGACTAAGACAGTCCTCAGATTAGCCAATCAGCTGTCAGTCAGCCCTAAGCCAGCTCGAGTGGATGCACCCGGACCTGTGAAATAGACTTTCCTATGTGGACTGCATTCGATTTTTGTAACTACCCATTCAGGGACAAGCTGTGCGGGTGGCTCAGCTGCAGGGGCAGTAAGGGCCTATGCAGGTGGGATTCCAGCCCGTCTCTGCCTGGGGTCCAGCCTTCCACCCAGCTGTATGCCGCCTTTCTGACACATGATAAGAACCAAGTCACCACCAGTCCTGTAGCCTAGTGGTGAACAGAACTGGATCCCACATAGCCAACGATGGTCAGAGTCCCATCCCTGGTGATGTGCTTTGCAAGCCAGTGTGCATACTTGTCTGCGTGTGCCCCAAATCCCAACAGAATGGAGAAATGGAGGACAACGGATTATAGTGTGACCACATCTCATGGGAGGGGGGGGTTTCTTCTCCCCTTACACATGTTTTCTGTCTCTCTCTGGTGAGTGTGTGTGCCCTCTCACAATTGAAACCACAAAAACAACTAAGTCTCCAGGCCTGCTTTCAAATCCTCCACCCACAGAGAAAGCTCACAGGACTCTAGTTCTCAACATCCGGAGCCCACCTCCTGGGCTAGCTCAGCGCTCTCCATGCCTGAATTCTCCACACCCTTCCGAGCCGCTGACCTCATCACTTGTCCCTCCATATATCTGTATGACCCAGTGGCCTGCAAGCTCCTCCAGGCAGGTGTCTCATAGGCATCCCCAGATTCTCGCAATAGCACATTCACAGCACTAACAGAGCAGCAGGCAGCCAGCACATCCTAGGTGCTAAGAGCGCTAATGCAAGGGCGAGACCAGGCTCTCATCACCACCTATGATGCAGCCGCTGGTCTGGCCTGTCTGACTGACGGGAGACTGGGCTTTCTGGCTGAGACCCAAAGACCTATGACTGGACCACTGCGTGCCAACCTGAACTGCTGCAGGTCTGCCTTCAAAGTCGGAAGTCAGCAGGACAGTACAGGGCTGGACCTCATTACCCAGTCACCACCTGGGGCCTTGTGAAAGTGCCAGCAAGAAGGGAAACCATGGGACCAGCAGTTAGCATAATGGCCATGTCACTGGACTCCCATGTAGTCGACCACGGTTCAAGTCCTAGACCCGGCGGCTTAAACTCACGCCAGGCGCGTGTGTGTGCGTGCCCAAGATCCTGAGAGGAGAATGGAGGAGAAGGGATTGCAGCGTGGCCATCCCCCCTGGAGGGCGATTTCTCGCTGTCTCTCTGTCTTTCTGGAGAGCGCACGTGCCCTATAGCAAAAACCTCTCCAAAGAAAAAGAAGGGAAGCCATGAAATACACTAGAACAAGGCTTGGTAGCACAGCAGGAACACAACTGGGCTCATACAGGTAAGGACCTGGGTTCACCTCTCAGGACTTTCCTGAGCATGCCAAGTGCACACACGTGCCTGTAATCCAGAACCGAGGGGAAGGGGGAAGATGGCACGGTGATACCTGGTGAGGGTACCTCTCTCTCTCTCTCTCTCTCTCATGAAAGAAATAGACAGGTTCTAATATGTGTGTAAATATGTATGTGTACAAATGTATGTAAAATATATAGAGGATACACACACACACATACATGTATACACAGGCATATATTTTTATATATACACATAGAAAAAATCAGAACTTCCCATCAAGATGTGTCCCCAAATTACACAAGCCCCAAAAGACAGAACACGCACACTGGCTTTGACCCCAGCCCGCCCCGCCATCAGACGCCACGACTGTAGCTCAGCATCCTGTGAGTGAAGTGCTGGCTTTTTCTAAATGCTGGGAGA